GAGCCGAGGAACCCCTAACTACGTGGTCTACTGGGATTGATCGACATGTCTGAAAGGACAAACCGAACGCCGGTCACATGTATAGACAGTATTAAAGTGGCAATTTCGTAAAAAGCACTTTAAAACCAAGAGTGCGAAAGTCTAGTGCAGTAAAACCGACTAGAGGAAGATCATAACTTTGTCATTCGAGCGCTGTTATTTAAACACCCCGAACACGGAAGTTGTGTTGATAATACTAAGGTCAATGCACGGCGGGCAAATTTAACGCAACACTCCATGCTAAAGTAGACATTACAAGCGTTGGACTGACATGCATTCATTATGTTAATGGCTGAGAAGAATCTTAACAATAAGCAAATATTTCTCTACCAAGGATTATAACAATTTCACTGACACTACTGAATACAAAAATAAGCAGAAAAGCCCTCTGACTTGCAATTTGGTACCCTGTGTAAAAAGGGAAAAAGAGGGCGGAGGAGTTTCACTGCATAGTGACCGCTGGAGACGTGAGGCCATGTTCCGCAGGGTGGCCACTCGGTTCTCCCACGGGACCCACTGGGACCTGGGGATGGTGATTTATCACGAGAAGATGGTCGCTCAGTCCCTGCGTAAAATGATAGAAGCTAAGAGACAAGGTAGGGTTAATAGGCAAACAAATACCGCTAAAACTTTATAGACGGAACAAAAGTTTAAATTTTGTAATTGAAAATTTCACCACTTTTACAATTTAATCAATTTAATTTTACAATTTAGTCAGCGTTGTATATCATATTCAAAACCATTCCTAGAGTTACGAGTTCTGCCTTTCTAGTTTTGAATCACGTACTGTTGTAATGGAAATAGAGACTTACTACGTTCATTCGTGACGGCAAATTATGCTGAATATAGTATATTAATCTTGATTGATCATAATTTGTATTGCTAATTACCCTTCTGTAAAGTGTCCTCTTCCTACAAGTATGGGATATTTCGAAAGCTAAAGACGTATTCATTTTTCTCTATTCTGCTGTGACAGTTTTCACATTAAGTAATGATAGAGAAACAGATGAACGCAGTGAAGCACATTAGAAGTTATCCTGTGTGACAAATATAATCTGATCAGAATGACAGGTTAAATGTACTATTATTCCTGTCAGCGTAATTGAAATGAAATACTGTCCAGCAAAACTTGTACTAAAGGGTGATAATGCTTTTTTATATCTGAAAGATGAGCTAATCAGATGATGCGTCTGTCTTTTTTTTCACCTTTTTCCTAACTAATCCACTGATATTCTGTTGGAAAATTTCATCCTTTGTATAAAGAGGGTTTGGCCTATACGTAGTTATATACATTTTATGAAAAAATAGATAGCCTATAAATCCAATTGAAAATAATCAAACCTTTTTCACTGACAAATTAAGTTTGGGCGACAAATCCTTGGTTTTTCAAAGCGGGTAAGTTGAGAGGTTTTGCTCTGTAAAATACAAAATCTTTGTCGAAAACAATTATACTGTAATATTTAAATCCAAGGGACGGTCATATTGTCTGGTTTTTGCGTGGCTTGTTGAACATTTTTGGATAGGAGCAGATAGCTACCTCCTAAACATTTTTTTTTGGGGGGGGGGGGGGGGGCTGTGGGGCGTACACGTGTCCACTTTGCTCCCTGGCCCTGACATTCAGTTTCTATCTATTTACATTCAAGCTTCCACACACCTCGCTAAATGGCTGAAGAGTGAGGCCAACTCTGGACTGAGAGATTTGTTTATGACGATGTACGAAGTAGACACGCTATGGACAGAGCTGCTTGACAACTATATGGAACAGGTAAGGAAACAGGTGCTCCCCCACATCCCCTTTGTTATCCCTACACCCCTTGTTACCCTCTCACCAAACCCCCTTGTGAGCCTCTCTCTCTACGTACTCCATTGTTAACTCTCACCCCTTTTTATCTTGTCCCCACACCCCTATTTTACCCCCTCATTCCTACAGCCACTTCTTTCTGCTGCACAAAGACAAATGCCAATAAGCCAAATGTCTAAATAAATAAATAAATAAATAAATAAATAAATAAACATGATTCATGTCACCCTGTGTTCTTTGTTCAGAGTTACTACAGAACTATATCATATTGTAGCGTGATTGGGAAGCAGAAGGCCAATTGCTGCTTCTGCATTTAAAAACACTGTATATACTGGACACGTGAAAACTGAGGCAACAAGGTGTTAAAGCTCTCAAGCACTTTTCATATCTTGAAGCCTCTTATCACGGAGGAACCCCCTTCACCCGCTCTCCCCTCCCCTTTCCCCCAAAAAATTGTGACAAGCGAACCGAGAGAAATTGAAACAATTCTTTTCATACCTGTACCCTGTATATATCAGTAATGTTAGCCTTGCCCACTATTTCGTATCTTTACCCTCCCCCCTTCCCCTAGCTTCCTTAGCAAAATAAAAACCCTGGAGCTATATGTACCGGTGTACTACTATAAATATGGTGTCATAGCAGGATTTTAGGGTAAGGGAATGGTTAGGGTAGGTGCACAACACATATTTGTATTGCCCGCGGTACTCATCCAGGCGCTGGAGAAAGTATGTGACTTGTAGTGGAGAAAGGGTTGACAATTTAGATAATACATATTTTTAAAACATCACTGGGGAAGGGGCAACTGCTTCTGTTTCCGCAGCCTGCGACCTACAACTGGCTTGTAATGTTTCTTTAAAAAAACCTTCATGTCAAAGTGTGTGCGTTTATGTATGTACGTGTGTGTGCTTATTAACTGTCGTTCGTATGTGTTACAATTGCTATACATATAATCCATTATTGTAATTGCGATATCTTGATTAGAAACCATGTTATCAGGTATTATGATTCAGGCATTATCTAGATTACAAGTATATGAAATAATAAGATAGGAGATTGTTGGAGCACAGTATGCCAATGTGCGAGTTAATATTGTCCACGCAATAATAGCTATATTCTAACTCGCTGATAATTAAACGTATATAAATCATTTATCGTCTAATAACTCTCAACGACCAAAACCACTTCATCTTCAAGCATCAAAATAATTTATTTATAAATTACAATGAGTCGATGTACAGACAGTACAATATCACATAAAAGTCCTTTGCTCCATCACCAGTCATTGCAGTAAGAGCTCCCGCATAGCCCAGTTCCAATTCTGGTACAGTTCTTACTTATATAATTCTGATAATTTTACAACGCATAAGAAACCCCTTATTTTTGTACAAATGTTTTTATACAAAAACTTTTATTAGGAATAAATTGGAGAAACAGTGTCCGTATAGAAGCGCTGATCGACCTCGAATGATCGTTTCCCCTTCTCACGTGATCTGTTCACCGTTTGAATACAGCGCCCCCTGCATAACGACCAAATGACATTCCTCCTAAAACACGTCATCGTTGACCCGTTTAACGACAATAAATACATTTAAAGCAATAATAGTTGTTCTTTTCTAGATAAATATTTACGTTATGATTATTTTGTATATATTTATTTATCATTATAATTCCTATTAAGAACAAACAAATGTATATAGTCTTTGGAAAGACGACCAAGTTGCGTTTTACCATGCAATTACACTCAATGCCGCTCACCTCGGGATTTTTTAATCTTTTTCATCCTCATCCTCATCATCATCATCATCATCATCATCATAATAATAATAATAATAATAATTATTATTATTATTATTATTATTATTATTATTAAATTTGGAAGGTAAAATGATCACACTAACAAAGGCTATATCCTTAATTTAAAGAGTTATGGGTTTTAGGTCAATGGCACAGAACCGTGTCTGATCCACAAAACAGGATAGTCGAAAATCGGTCTCCGGAGAGACGACCAAGTTGCGTTTTACCAAAAACTTTCAATGCCGCTCACCTGGTTTTTTCTTGTCTTTTAAGAGTGCACCTAAATCACTGTATGGTTTTCATGATAGTGATGTTTACTTTCACTGTAAATTAATAGTTTATTGAGCTGAAACCCATTTTTTTGCATCCTCAATTGAACGTACATGAAGTATTAACAAAAACATTTTTATGAAAAATTAAAGATTGCTACTCTCTTCTTGAAGGATTTCGTGATAAATGGGTTGTATTATGATGTCTTTAGCATTAAGGGAGAGCTTGATAATGGAAAAGAAACAACAAAAATCTGTTCAGCATCTTTGTTTAGATATTGTATATTAGTGTCTGTGTGATATTTTTATTTGGAATCTTTTCCAGTACGAACATTATAGAAAACAGTTCAAAGAAATTTTAACGGAAACCAAAGAAGTTGACGAAGCCAGGAAAAATTACTTGGAGCTCAAAGGAAAAACAAACAAATTGGAGAAACAGGTACTTGAATACCTAATTCATGTCATTATGGTTTAAAATATGACAAATTAAAATTTATTATTCAGAAATTTTTACAAGGCATTTAAATTATTACCATTAGTGCACATGTATATATCACGGAGGTTGAGCAATTCTTATGACATTTTAAATTAAAATTAATTAAAATGACACGTTTACGCACGAATTCAGTGTAATGAATCAATTGATGCTGATAATTATATGATTCTTGCATTTTGTATAAGGCAGATCCGGGGTGGAATGAGTAGGATTACTGTTTTGCCGTGCTAATTGGTATATACTGTAGAGTAGATACATGTAGATGGCGAGTGATATTTGACTGTTACTAAATGAGCTGTTTATAGGGCACTGGGGTATCCTTTTTTGAGGGGGGGGGGGACAAGAGCGAGGAAGGGGTTTCTCCGAAGCTGATTGACGAGTGTG